CACCAGGTAGTGATGACATACCCGCAGAGTGCTTAAAAAATGGAGGAGAAGCGTTGTACAGTTCTATATACAAGCTAATTCAAGACATTTGGCGAGAAGAAACAATGCCAGATGAATGGAAAGAAGGGGTTATTGTACCAATACACAAAAAAGAAAACAAAAAGCAATGTATTAACTACCGGGGAATAACACTGCTAAACACTACCTACAGAATCCTTGCAAACATCCTGTTAGAAAGAACCAAAACATAAACAGAAGAAATCATCTACTATTGACCAGATATTCACAATAAAACAGATAATGGAAAAATGCTGGGAGTTTAATCGTGAGCTTCATTAGATGTTCATGGATTTTAAACAAGCATTTGATAGAGTATGCAGAGACAGAATGTGGACAGCGATGCAGGAACTTGGCTTTCCAAAAAAACTGGTCAGGTTGATACGGGTGTGTATGGAACGGTTACGATGTAAGGTGAGAGTTAGACAAGAATACTCGGAGATTTTTGAAATAAACAATGGACTAAAACAGGGAGATGCACTTTCACCACAACTCTTCAACTTAGCTCTAGAGCACATAATCAGAAGTGCAAGAATCGAAAAACCGAATACAGTATTTCATTGAGAAGGACCAAACTTACAAGTGGCATTGCAGTTGCAGACGATATCGATCTAATAGGAAACACACGATTAAGGATAAAGGAGACTTTTGTGAGGTTCGAGAAGGAAGCAGAGAAGATGGGGCTCCAAATCAACGAAAACAAGACGAAATATATGTATATGAGCCGCAATAACCAAAGCAGAGACAGAATCGGTCAGAACATTACCATCGATGAATTTAAGTTTGAGCGCATTAGAGAATTCAAGTATCTTGGAACAACAATAACGGATCACAAGAAATAAACAACAGGATTCAGGCCGGAAACAGATGTCTTCTTGCCCTCCAAAACCTTATAAAATCGAAACAACTAACAAGACGTACAAAGATACAGGTCTATAAAACAATCATACGACCCGTTGTGATGTATGGATATCCGAAACGTGGACGATCACAAAGGCAAACGAAAAAAGAGACTTTGTGTTTGGGAAAGAATAATCCTAAGGAAGATCTTTGGTCCTGTGCTGGATGAAGCCAACATCATAAAAGAAATAAAGTCCAGAAGACTCCAATGGGCAGGACACCTGAGAAGACATTCTGACGAACGAAGAGTAAGACTGGTGTGGGAGGAAGTCCTAACTGGAAGGAGACCACGCGGACGCCCTCGTCTCCGGTGGCGAGATAATATAGCAGGGGACCTAAGCACTATGGGCGTGGAGAATTGGATGGTACTCATAATTTATCGTTACTTTATTGTTGTTCGAAATTATCCTAGAATCTACACAATCGTCTGGTAGAGGAAGCTATGTCAACCAGTTAGTAGCTTTCAAAACAGTGAACAGTCTCTACTAGAGTCTAGAATAAAACACGAGCAGCTTAACGGGAGGAAAACAGGGACAACCTGTTATCAATGTATGCTCCTATTCTTAAATGTATGTAAAAATGTGAGCTTGATTAACTATGTTATGAACGTAGTAATCTTGCAGTGGGATCTTACAGGGGAGATATCTTAGGGGGACTATCATAACTTAAATATATACAAGACCATAATCCGACCGATAGTGAGCTATGGATGTGAAACTTAGATGTTAATTGAAAAATTTGTAAACTGCATAGACATCTTTGAAAGAAAGATACTTAGACGAATACTAGGCCCTATAAATGTATCAAATGTGCAGCAGCAATGTGCTTTGAAGCAAACCGGTATAATACAGTTCTTTCAAAAATTGATTAATTCACATTATGAATACATACATGTATTTACATGAATGTACCTTTAAACTTCCGTCATCATTATAGAATAGCAGTTAATTAATAATAATTGATCAACACTTAATGTAGTAATTTGAAGTTTTATTTATTTACTCTCACAAATTTCGAACCATTTGATACTTCAAACACTCAATAATTCGTAATATTTTAAGAGTCCCTCAAGTTTCAAATTAATGAGAGTCGACTGTATTTAAGATAGAAGAAAACTGGCTTTTCTTGCTCCTCATATTTTTGTCTTTTCATTCTCTTAAAGAAAAGTCATAATCTGAAAACTTGGTACATGGGTTCCTCTTTGTATATTATTGTATTTGTGCCTATTGAATATGGAATCCAGAACTATCATTCTTCTCATATTTTTATGTCTATTCTCATTCATGAAAGAAAATTTTTAAAACTTTGAAACTTAGTATATAGTTTTCACTTGGCATAAGAAAAACCCTCTTTGAATTTTGGGTCAACAGCAGCAATGTATCCAGGATTTCATTTCATAGGGTGTCCACGTGTTTACCCTCTCCATTCCTACTGGGTTCATAATTTTTTTTTAGGTTATTACTTTTACTATGTATATTTCAAAGATTATTAAAAAAAGAGTTAGTTATAAGTGCTCAATGCTCATATAAAGCACAATTGGAAAATTATCCAAATACTGTCGAAAACCAGTACCTGGACACTATTTAGAATAGTTTAAGAGGCATTACTTTTTGAGAGATTGTGTGAATAGAACAAATTTTATTTGATTTGCATCTTCACAATAAACTTCAAAACATGTTTAAATTTAAAATAAAATTGTCCAATATTTTTTAGGTATTTATTGAATTTTAAAATCATCAATATTTGATATTTGGGGGGTGTCCAGACCCCCAGGCTATGTCACTGGTCAACGAGCCTTCTTCTTCTGCTAATATTATTATGCCTTTTCTTTTGCTTTAAATAAAATTTCTAGAGCCTTGAAACTTGGTATCTATGTAGCTTCTTTCTGGTTTAATGAAGAAATGGTTTTTCTTTTTCTTGGAGCAAAGGTCTTGAGCCTTTAAATTTGATATATATTGGTAATATTTAAGAGATCTACAGTTTTAATCTCCATGTTTAGCATATAATTTTTTTACATACATTTTAATTGCGTTTTTAACCTATTACTTAAGCTTTTGGAAGTGTTATTTTATTTGTAACTAAATTGCTTGGAAAAGAAACAGCACCTTGAGAATGTGATTTTTGACACCAACAATTTTTTGTAGAAAAGTTTTTCTTATTTTCGTTTCATATTATTAAATAAATGCTCATTATTTTTCTGTCCTGGGACAGCTCCAGTGATAATTAAACATAGTCCATCACCCACTACTTTAGAAAATTAGAAATTCATAGATTACTAGCCAATTATAAGTAAATTAAACTTACATAACATTAATTACAATAATAGCAAACCTATTTTGTTTGGAACAGGATGTTTTTATGATAGCAATAAATTTTTATGCAATTTTAAGGTAATATCCAAATAATAATAATTTTAAAAAAGCTATTATGAATCCTTTTTTATAATACATTTAAACATTTTTTTCTAGTACATTATTTTTTAATAATATATGCACATAATTATGGCTATTACAGTGTATAAATATGAGTTTACTGTTTATATTTCCATATAAAATTTACAACATATAAACCTAAAAACATAAAAAGAAACAGTAGGTAACTATTTCTATACTTTTGACAGTTATACCAAAATACTTTTATAATACTAACTGTTAATTTTATTTAAAAAGACGATTTTATAATAAATTAGCATTTTTAAATAGCATTATTAATACTTCTTTATAAAAACCGTACAGAAAAGTTCGTCTTACTATCAAAATAGGTATGTTTTATAAAAATAAAAAAGTGAGATGAAACCAATAAATATATTAATTTGCAATAAACTGAAAATATACACAGGAAAATAACAAAACAAAACAGTGTGACCTCAGCATTGACATTTATGATGCCCAGATGGCCTTTGCATTATAACCCAGCCCCTTATTCAATATAATTTTATCTCTGACAAGTGCAATAAAATTATGTTATTTAAAAACGTAATATTATTTCATAAAACAATAAAAGAAAAGGCTGATGTGTACAGACAGCTTGTAATCAAAATAAGCTAATAATTACAATCTATAAGACAAAAATATAACTTACCCCTGATACAGAGATGGAAAATCTCCGTTTAGCTGATAAATATAAGTTTTTCGGGAGTATGCATCCTATTTGTGCCTTTTGAAATATTGCATGTTAGATGCATTTAAGTGGGATTAACGTCTCCATAATCAACAAATTTGTTTGCACCTGCGAATAGAACTCATGAGACGTCGTACTTCTGTCATATTTTTAAATATTCACTTCACGGAAGATACACATTATACTTACAAAACAGATTATTTGTCGGCTTTACATGAATACACTCCTCCCCACAATCACTTTTTCTGCTTGACAATTTCAATTTTACAGAGCAACAACCGGAGTTGCTCTTCTGCGCAAGACCTACACCCCGTTTTGTTTGACCATTCAGAAAATTTTAATCAACGGCGCCAAGGTTAAACACTCTTGAACGAAGATTTTATGTTTTTGATGGATGTTTATTACTGATTTGAATATTTTGTATTTAAAAGTTATGTTTTAATATAATTTCTAGATATAAACAATTTATTTATTAAAAACTGCAAGATATGTGCGTGCTAAAAAATACGCCAGTTTAAAATATTTTTTTAATTTTTGTTATTGGTTGATTTAATGACAACATATATTTGCTTATAAGAACCTCAGGTTCCCGAGATTTAAATATATTTATGTGGCAGTTGATTTATTTTATAATGATAAATTTTTAAATGGATAAAATATATAATTTATTATAATCTGTAATAAACTTGATTATGCAGATTGAAATGTTATCTATATAGTGCAATTAAACCATAGATAAATAATATAATAAATTAAACGAACCCCCTGTTTTGTTGCAAAATATACCACCAAAACATTTTTCTTCTTTGTATGCTACAAATCAGGCTGGCTTTTATACCTAAAAAGATGAGGAATCGATTTCCATGAAAAAATCTAATTCGATGACAGTATACGTTTTGAGTTTTGACATTTGACATTCATAAGAAAGCTTGCGGCTTGATTTTTGCTAAAAACACAGAAAGTGCAACCAACTTAAATTAGTAGTGAAGCTGTTCTATTTTATTTTGAAAATAAACGAAAATCAAAGTAAAATAATATCTTTGTTAAGTGAAACTTTCAAAATGTTTCTAGGATAAGTTTTAAAAGTGTGTGGACATCCATGTTTTGGTGATAATGAATACTGAAAATCTAAATCTTAGTCTAGATATGGGTGACGATATGAAATTAGATGAAGTAAACTATGAAAGTGATGTATCCTCCTCCAGTTCTGAAATTTCAACCGGTCCAAGCATCAGTTCTTCTAGCACTAATTCTTCCGGTCAACTGCAACGATCGCGGCACAAGAGGGACCGTTCAAGGAGTGCATCACCAGCGTCAAAGAGACCACGTTCCAAAGATAAATTGAAATCTTATGACTATATAACGAAGTTAAATTATTTGTTTCGTGATGCCCGTTTTTTTGTTATTAAATCTAATAATTCTGAAAATATCATCCTTTCAAAAGCCAAAGGTGTGTGGTCAACTCTTCCTCAAAATGAATCAAACCTGAATCAGGCTTATAAAGAATCGAGAAATGTTCTTCTAATCTTTTCTGTTAAAGAAAGTGGAAAGTTTGCAGGTTTTGCTCGTCTACACAGTGAATCAAGACATGATGGATCTCCAATTTCTTGGGTACTTCCACCTGGTTTATCAGCCAAAGCTTTGGGAGGGGTCTTTAAGGTAGATTGGATTTGTCGTAAAGAGTTATCATTTTTGAGCACAATGCATTTGTACAATCCATGGAATGACGGAAAACCTGTAAAAATTGGTAGAGATGGACAAGAAATTGAACCCCGTGTAGCTGAGGAATTATGCCGTTTATTTCCTGAAGATGAGGGAATTGACTTATTACCAATATTAAGATTAGCTAAAGAGGCTGGTAAAAAAAGTACCTTACGTAGTAGAGATGGACACAGGCACCCAAAAGCCAGAATGCCAATAGCCGCCAGACCTTCGTCTTTCAACTATAGAGGAAGGGGATCATCTTTTTCCAGGAGAAAATACTTTTTATCTAGAGGACTGACTACAAATAACTATAGACGCTCAGCATCGCCAAGGCCAAGGGATAGGTATTCTATGTTTTATGAAAGGGAAACATCTCGGCCATATACAGCAGCAGCAGCTGAAGCTTATGTTGCTGATTACATGAGAACTATGCAGCATCAATTACCTCCTTTGCCATATGTAGCATCTGCAATTTACCCACCTTATGATAATTTACCTCCACCCAGATACTATGAAGGACTTCCTGTACCAGATTATTCGTCTTCTAGATTAGCTTCATATGCTGATAAAAGGTCATATGATAGATCTGTCGATGAATTTATTTGGAGAACAACAGAACGTTCTAGAGTTAGAGATAGAGAACGTGATAGGGGAAGGGAAAGAGAGAGAAGCAGAAGCCACCATAGGTATAGGGATAGAAGGTGAATACCATAGTACCATATAGAGTTGTAATCATGTTTATTTTCTATCATATTTTGGATTTTTAGAGAACCTTAACTTCAAAATAAAAAGTTTCATTATATTTTCATGCATAAAATATCCAATAAATTTTTATATATTATAAAATTGCTTAATGCATGTTCAAAAGGTCTTTCTAATATAATGACTGCTATCTTCATCCTTAGATACAGTCATATTTTTATTTTGTTAAATTGATTTTTATTTAACATATTCATATGTAATAAGTTCAGATATTTTGTTTATTTTTCATTTGAACCTTATTTGCACATTCCATACCAATGTATTATTTTGTAGTTTTATGGTGTTATTGTTAAAATTCATATTTACTCTTGTTGTGGACAAAACAATTCCTTTAATCTTCATTATTACATAATCATTATTGTTACATTTGCTATGTAGTATGTTAATCTCTTGTGTGAGTCATCGGAGTGAAGAGTTTATTAATTTCTGTATGAACAGCCATTTTCTTCTTTTTCCTTCTTTCTTCAGCATGACTGTTCATGCCTATTGTTTCACAAATAAAGCTTATCTATTGAAATAGTCAGTAGAGTACTTCTGATTATATATGATTATATCAAGAGCCAGTAGGAACCAGAAAGAGAGGCAGGCCAAGATCTGGATTCAAGACTCAACTCAAGTTGAGGAATATAGGGGTCAGAAATTGGAAAGATAGGGGGGAATGGAGACTAATTATTGAACAAGCCAAAACCCACCCAGGGTTGTAGAGCCAAAGATGATGATGATGTGTACTTCTGATGAATTGTGAGTTATGATTTTTTGCCAATTCTGGGTTTGGGAGTTTTTGTTATCAAATCCAAAGTTTTATATTGAAAATGACAAACTTATTCATTTATACCTTATGATCTTTACATCATATGCTGAGTTGACTTGACAGTATTGAAGTAGGATGTCATACTGTAGCATTAACTGCCATTTGATTTACATTGTCTGTAAGAGCCAACACTGAATTCTTGTCATGAGTTTTACTGAAGAATAAATTGTATTTGTCCACAACTATTTAGTAAGATAAATTACTTTGACAATACAATCACTATATTTCACTGCTTAAGATTTTACTGTATGATGAGATCTTTTGACTGCATGCATATATTTGTAAAATAGATTAAGAAGGAAAAGTATTTTTAACAAATTTACAGTGTACTCTATCTATATATACTACAATAAATGTCAAATTTTGAGCTTTTCATGTCTACACAGGTAATTGAAGATTTGTTAAAATATTTAATGACTTCTTGAGCCTTCTACTGAGTGACCCATCTTTTTATGTTGTTTAATTTTTTTTTGTTCACATATCTAATATATTTATTCATCATTTAAATTCCAACACTATTATCATTTAGTTCTTTCCATGGCTTTATTTTGAAACATGAGTCTAAAAAGTTACCATACCATCAGATAAGGCCTGTACCATTTGGTAATTGATGAGTCATGTATATATATGTAATATATTTTTATATTTCTTTATACACTTTTTTAAGATAGTACAGATATTTTCGTATTGTATTTTAAGGTATATTATCATTGCCTTTCTTAAAAGTCCACAAGGAGTATGCCCAATTATCGATCAAATTGTTTTTTCTACATGTATTTGTAGTATGAAACTTCTGCTAATAGATAGGCTGTTTCAGTAACACAACACAGTGCTTGGCATAGTGACGTAATTGGAAATTTGATTTTAAATTCTTGAGTATTTAATCCATTGGAAAAATAATAATAAACGATCCAGAAGGAATCTATGTTCCTGTAGTTGGCTGTATACCATATATTAAAAAATAATTAAAATCCTTTGTAAAAGGTATATATTTAAAAACCCAAACGGGCTATGTTAGACAAAATGTATTCAGAATCCATATTCCATCATCAGTGTCTAGGAGTACATGAATGTAGCCCCTATATATATGGGTAAAAACCTGTTAACAAATAATTAGTTACATTTGGTTTACAGTATTTCTTATAAATTGTTAAGATGGTGAAGTTACCTTTGGATTAGGTAACATGGCGAGATATGCCGCCATGTTTTTGTTGAGATTCAACAAAGGATTGTGATTTTTCTACATTATTATTTGACATGTTAATTTGCTAGACTGTTTGCCATTTTAAATACCAGCTTTCTATTGCTAACTCTGTTCTGGTATGGTGTTGTCACTATATTGACTTTAGTACATGCATCAGTCATCAGTGTGAATTTATTGAGGGGATAATTAATAAAGCATCTCAAATTTCATTCCTTCCCTTTTGCAGCTGAGTTTTGACTTTTTAGATTATAATACATATCTGTATATAAATTATGTTAAGTGAAAAAATATCTTGCAGAATTTTGTTTTATTTAGTTACAAATTGGTTACTAAAATATTTTTTAGTAACAAATTTTAGGTTTATTTTTAATCTTAAATATTGTCGATTGGGTATTAATGAAAAATATAATGAAAATGTTACTCAATAATTTAATGTTTAGATATAAGAAATAATGTATTTTGAAGGTTCTCTATATCAAGATTTTTGCAATGATTTTTCTACTCCATGTTTTATGTGACATGATTACCAGAATAATAATTGTGATGTCTGTCTATTAGATTTCAGTGTAAATCAGTGCATAAATAATGTCTAGTGTATTATTAGAAACTCGATAAGTTTTTTAAACAATGTGTTGCATTATTTGTATAACCATACATATTAAAAGACTATATTTTAAAAATTTGGTGATGTAATTTTTTTCTTGGAATCCAAGAACTTTATAATGATGAGACTGAAAGTGATTGTGAAGAGTATTTTCAGTTTTTATTGGAAACACTTCACTTCGATGAGTTGTGTAAGTGATAGAGACTATTCCTCTTTATACCTTGAAGGCTGTGTATTTATTGTACATTTTTAATTGTATATCTGTTTGTAAATCCATTTAATTTTTATAAAGAATGTTTATTCATCAGTGCACATTTTAAAGATTTTTTACACAGAATTTTTATAAAATTTACCAATGCTTCATCCAAATTAACTTCATCCAAAATATACACAAACTTTTGTACTTTTCAAAAATTGTACTCAAATTTTAAAGCACGATGTTTTTTAAGAACATATTTTAATATGATTTGTGCCATAAAAATAGAATGCTCTAAAAAACGGCACAAAGGCTTCAACTTTTTTTTGTATCTTACTTTTATATGTGGCATTTAAAGTTGTTTTGATATTATTATACAACTTTTGATTACAATTTTTTTTCATTGTTGGCGTATTTTGAAGATGACACCAAAAAATTTTCATCTAAAAATTACTGCTCCATAGCGGACAGTTAATTTCTGCACCAGCAAATCTGACACATAATTTTCGATAAGTGCCCTTGATAATGAAAAAATATTTTACCAGAAAAATTTAAAATCCTTAAAACAGAACAAAATGATGGACATTTGAAAAAATTGTTCAAAAATGGACTTTTTTTTTACTTTTTTCAGTCACAAAAATTTTATTATTTTTTTTTTGCTCAAGTTGTGGTAAGCTATCATAGAGAAAACCAAAGCAAACAAAATACATCAAGATTTATTAAAATCGACCAACTAGATCCAGAGATTAAAGATTTTTTTTTAAATTGGCGCAAGTTAATTTTCGGATCTAGTCAGTTGATTTTAATAAAGTTTGATGCATTTTGTTTGATTTGGGTTTCTCTATGATAGCTTATCACAATTTGACCAAAAACAAAAAAAATAATAAAACTTTTGTGACAAAATACACTCACCAGCAAAATTAACGGAACACCTTAACAATGGGTCATGTTAGATGTCTCGAATTTCCTAAACCTGTTGTCCGATTTGAGTTATTTTTTTAGTATGTTATTGTTATATTATTTAGGAATATCGATGTAATAATATTGTTGCTAGACGGGTCAGTGTAATTTTATACCGGGTGTAACAATCATACTTTGTTTTTTCCTTAAAGTTCGGAATACCCTGTAGAATATTCTAACATATATAAAATATTGAAATTAAAACTCAATTATAGCCTCAGGCTTTCTTAACATTTTCTTTTTTGTTTCATTTACTTGTGTTGGATAATAAAAAAAGTTAAGTACTTTAACAACTAGCCATGTTTTTGATTAATAAATGCTCATTTTCTGCTTTGTTTCACCGGTATATTTAAAGGAACAACCATAAAATCTGAGAATTTTCTCTCTAGTCTATACATTGCTAATATTGTTTAGATAATATCATAATATGAATGTTGGTGAAGTATTTTGAATTTATATTATAATGGTAGTGCAATACCAAACCTGTTTAAGAAGAAATAAAACACAAAGATGTCAGACTCTAATAAAATATGGATTTTAAACACATTAACTTTATTGTACAGTTTGAACTTAAATTGGTTTTTTAAGCATTTTTTTTTTGCTTTAATAGCGTGTGTTTTCCCCACGTGCCCTTACAACTGCAGTTATTCGTCTTCTCATACTTCTATAAAGCTATCGATAAAGCTATCTATCAGTTGTTGAGGCAGTCTCTCTCATTCCTCAATCAAAGCAATTCTGACTTCCTCTCTGTTTTGAATAGCAGGAACCTGTGCCCTAAGTTTTCTGCCTAGCATGTCAGTAATAAGAAATCTCTTACACAGCCTGCGACGTGTGGGCGCGCATTATCCTGCATTAAAATAAAATTTTCGCCAATATATGGTGCAAAAGGTACCACATGGTCTTGGAGAATATCTCTGATATACCTATCTGCTGTTAATGCTCCATCATCAATCACCACTAACTCTGTTCTTGCTCCCAAAAATATAACGCCCCACACCATAATTGAACCTCCACCAAAAGGTATGGTTATATAGTAAAATTGAAAGGGGCATTTCGTTCTCCTTGGCGTCGATACAATATTTCTCTACCGTCGATGTAATTTACACAGAAACAGCTCTCGTCCGTAAAGAAAATTTGACTCCAGTGTTTATCATTCTTTTGATGTACTCGACCAAATTGTAGTCGTGCTAAACGATGGTGTCTCTGTAGTCTAGGAGCTTTTATTGGCACATATGACTTGAGACCGGCTTCTTCAAGTCTCCTTCTTACTGTGCGCTCACTTATGGTAGTTCCACGAACATTTTGCAACAGGTTTTTGGTTTGAACTGCCGTTT